GTAGTTCATGCAATATTTGAAACCTTTAACGCACAGGGAAAATTCACCCCACGGCGCCAGTTTAAACTTAGCGCAATTCAGTGGGAAAAAGATGGACTTGGCAACCCTTCATCCAACATGAGCTGCAGGAGTCAGATTTGACTGATCACGGGGTGGAGAGTAAAATGTGCTTCCTTCACACAGAGTGATCACGAACTCGAAAGTGAACAGCGAGCGCCCATCCAAAAGCGATTTCAATATTTATGTAGAGTATGTTTCTGACATCAGAGTTGATATTATTGTATTATATAGGAATTGAGGCATAAAACATTCCATCTGATCTTCACTGTGCAGGGCTCACGTGTCTCCATGTGGCCACGCTGCACAAGCATCAGCGTCTCATGCGGCTACTGATGAAGAACGGGGTGGATCTGAACATCCAGGTGAGCTGCTCGAGGCTGATTCTGCTGTGTGAAGTGAAAACCTTCAGTCTTGTGACCAAACATCCGGCTGATTCCCTCATTCAGGAGGGGACGAGCGGGAAGACGGCGGTACATATGGCGGTGGAGCTCCACGATGCGCCAGCGGTGAACCTGCTGCTGAATAAAGGGGCGAATGTAGACGCTGCCATGTTCAACGGCTGCACAGCGCTGCATCTAGCCGTGGGCCGACAGGACGCCGCCATCGCTAACCTCCTGTGCCAAGCTGGAGCCGACAAGATGATCAGAAACATGGAGGATGAAACAGCCCTGGATCTGGCTGATGGCAACGATGACGTAAGGAGATCGAAATTCCCTTGTTATCTAACTTCAGCGTTTAACAGAATCTTCAGTGTCAGACTGAGACAGAGACAACTCTGTATCAGTGTTGTTATTGTTCATTAAAACTAAAACTATTAAACTGTTTTTGTTCGTTGAAATAAGGCTGAAATAAACTATAAATATTAGATGAAAAACTTTGAAATGTTGCCTTGGCCAAAGTACCAAAAGACTCAATATAACTAAAATTACTAAATAAATTAATAATATTTTTGTTACTTTTCTAATATGACACTATATGTTCATTGAGAAAAAAAAATGTATAAATAAGAAGCCACTAAAACTAATTTGACAGTTTTCTAATGTTTAAGTTTTTATTTTTAATATTTGGTACAACCTTCATGTAAAACAACACAAATGCATTCTGATCTATGATTAGCAATATTGATGTTTTGTAGCAATACTGTGCAGTTGTAAACAAGACGAGCAAATAAAACACTGCTTTGCAAACTTGTTGTTATTGTTAATCAAAACTAAAACTATTAAACTGTTTTTGTTCGTTGAAATAAGGCTGAAATAAAATATAAATATTAGATGGAAAACTTAAACTGAAAATAAGTTGAAGTACCAAAGTACTCAATATAAATGAAATTACTAAATAAATTAATAATAAAATATTTTTTGTTACTTTTTCTAATATGACACTATATGTTTGAGAAAAATAATAAATAAAAAAAATAATAACAAAAAAAAAGAAGCCACTAAAACTAAATTTACAGTTTTCTAATGTTTAAGTTTTTATTTTTAATATTTGGTATGCTTGATACGCTGGTATGCTAAGTATTGTAAATAATTATTAATTTATTATTAAAAATAATAGTAATATTAACTTCCATTAAAAAGTACAGTAATAATTTGAAATAAAATGTGCAATATTGCAACATTTTATACAATTGTATAAATATATTTTAAAAATTAACCTAAATAAAATAAAGTTGAAGTACCAAAGTACTCAAAAAAAACTAAAATGACTAAATAGTACTAAAATTATTAAAACAAAAAAATATTTTATAAAGCTAAACAGAAATGTTTAAACGCAACAAAAACTAGTAAAAGTGGCAAAAGCTCATAACAATAACACTACTAAAAATACTGGAAAACAACATGCTCAAAAACTCCCTAGAAACTAATTGAAATAAAAATAATTTAAGTTGAAATACTAAAATGACTAAAACTGAAAAAAATAAAGCAAAATGGAATTAAAAAAAGAAACCAATAAAAATGACAAAAGCACAAAATTACTAAAATGAAAACTGAACATATACAAATGAACGTTATTAATAATAATAATAAATACTATAATGGTATATAAATAATACTAATGCCGTTTATATTGTCTTAGATTGAGTGATAGTTAAGTCTTGATTATTAGTGTGCATGATGTGCAACCAATACATTTCAACAGGTTTTTTAATTTAACTGAAACATGAAATCCTAAGTTGACTCTACATGCTTGCATTGATTGTTTTATTGTGTGTGCCGTGTTAACTGTAAAGCAGCATACAGTAAATGCACTTGCTCCGTAAGCTGTACATTAGAAATGGGATGATGTGGTCACCGTTTCTCCTTTTGCTTTTGCAGATTTTGGCCTTGTTCCCCTTCGATGACATTCAGATCATGGGCAGGACTGTCATGAGTTTCTCCTGAACATGTCAGCGGCACGCTCTTTGTTCTTTTTTAAATACTGATCTGAATTTGCAGGACTTTGGTCATAGTGATGCACAGCTTTTGGAAACGTCTGCCTGTAACCTCAACTATTTATGCCCAGCGGTGATGGTGCTGGTTGATTTGTGCAGCAGTAACAGCTTCAAGCCATTCATGCAGAATTATGTGCTGCTGTGTGGTCGGCACATGCGGACGTAACTTGTATTGTTTGTAGTCTGTTGAACAACCTTCATGTAAAACAACACAAATGCATTCTGATCTATGATTAGCAATATTGATGTTTTGTAGCAATACTGTGCTGTTGTAAACAAGACGAGCAAATAAAACACTGCTTTGCAAACTTGTTTCATAGTGCCAATAAAAGTAGTTTTAATATTTACGTGCAGCGTTTTCTTTCTACTGAAAATGCAAGAGCTTTTTATGAAACTTTTTTTTTTTTTTTTTTATTATTATCTGCCAGCAACTGTGTTGTTTACTTCACAACCATATCATTTACATTTTGGTTTTCAATGTTAAACGCTGCGTATAATGCAAACTAAACAGACGCTGGAGACAGATTCATGCTTTGGTGTTTTTAAGAGGAAAAATGTGCTGCAGTTCTCATAAGCATTGATACTGGGAAAACAACAATGAGCAGAACATACAGGAAAAGCCACAAAAACAAGTTCCTGGTAGATTTGTAAAAAAGAACAGCATGTCGTGAAACCTTGTCTGTGTGTGTTTCCATCATGTGCCACATCACTCTTCCTCATAACTTCCCAAAAATGAGTCCCATTCATGTGAACTCGGACAGGTTAAAACATGCTTCCGCTTCATGTGAAACAAGTATATTTCCTTGTAAATTAATATTAATTTCCTTTTCTTTCCTGTGTACATAAGATTGCCATTGTATTTGGTGACTAAATATAGCATTAAATGCTTACTTTTAGAAGAAATAAATTATTATTAAAATTTTTTTTACGATATTTGATACTTATAAATATTGTTACTTTTCTAATATGACGCTTTATGATTATTGAGAAAAATAATGAATTCATAAAAATAATTTAAAAAAAGAAGCAGCTAAAACTAAACGTGCATCCTATTAAATGTACAATCTTCTAATGTTTAAGGTTTTATTTTTAATATTTGGTATACTCGATACTAAATATTATAAACATCAATAAGTGTTAATTTATTATCATTGATAAATTATGATTAATTTAGATATTTTATAATAATAATTATTATTAATAAATATTAAAACCCATTAAAAAGTACAGTTAGTTACTATAAATGCAATTTCAACATTTTATAAAATTTTATATGTATATTTAAATAATATTTGATATCTTGGAATTGCAGGAGTGTTGAGGAAACAATTTAATAATAGGAATTTGGGTCTTTTAAAAAACAAATTACTGTATAATATATATGTATCTATATTCTTGAGCCCTAATATATTCATGGTAATATAATGGTATACTGATTGCAAATGTATTTGGTGAATAAATATATAAATAATCATACTTTTAGAATAAAAAAAGTAAAGTACTATTGTTTTTAGCTAAATTGTATAAATATATTTGTACAATTTTTGATACTTCTAAATAATGTTACATTTATTTATTTTTTTCTAATATTGTTACATTTATTTTTGTTCTAATTTGATTATTGAGAAAATGGCTTACAAATAATAAATGAATAAAAAGAATGCAGAAAAAGCAGCAGTTAAAACTAATGTGTACCCAAGTGAATTTACTATCTTTTAACATATTTATTGTTAATATGCATTTATGCCTAGATTTAAGTGTTACAATAAAATGTGCAATATTGAAACATTTGTATACAATTTTCTAAATATATTTTAACAATATTAAAATAATATATGCTAAAACTAAACGTGTATCCTAGTAAATTTACAATCTTTTAATGTTTTTAGTTTTTATATTTAATGACAAAAATTACTTTCCATTAAAAAGTACTTTTACTACATATAATACTTATAATAAAATGTGCAATATTGCAACACTTTTATTCAATTCTATGAATATATTTTAACTATTAAAATTAAAAAATACATAGAAACAACTAAATGCTTTAACTAAATGTGTATCCAAGTAAATTTAAAATCTTACGTTTTTTTTATTTCTAATATCGGTGACTAAATATTACATTTCTGTTAAAAACGAAATTACTACATTTAAGTGTTAAATAAATAAATAAAATGTGCAACATTTTATAAATATATTTTAGCAATATTTAATACGATTTTAGATTAAAAAAAATAAAAATGTCAGAGAAGCAGCTGTAATTATAATATAAATATAATGTCGCCTGACGTCAGAGGGGCGCTACAGATTTCAACGCATTTAGAATCTGCGCCGAATAAATTTCACAATAAAAGTCTCTCATAAAGACTAATGAACCCCCGCGCACAGACCCAAGGACATTTTACTCTCTCGACTGTGTCAACACGACTGTTAGACTAATAAAACATTATTATGTCTTTATTATTATTATGTCGAAACCTCGTGACACTAAATCCAAGAGGAAGCTGCACAGATACGCGAAGAAGTGACTCCTCTCGCAACCGGAAGCGCTGCAGCGTGTGAACACGTCAGTACGTCAGTACGGATGAACTCATGAATGAAGCAGGCCGAGAAGTTTCAGGTCAGAAACACTCGGGATTTGTCCGGATCCTGGACGTTGATCGTTTGATTTCTGTCCGAAGGCTTCCTCGATACATGTCCGGCGCCGGAGCTCGTCTGGAGAAGTCTCTCAGCGGCTGTTTCAGGGAGTTCTGAAGCCTCATAATGCCTCTGTTTCTATGGAGGTACTGAAACATGATGCTCAAACATCACAGTGACATTTAAATCTAACATTTCTGACGTCAAAATCACTTTTAATGCAACATTTCAGACCGCACTTTAATCATTTCACCATTATAGTGTAAATAATGCATATCTTCTGCCTGCTTTTATGTGTAATTACTTCATTACAGCTTTCAAATGCATGCTGTTCATTTGATCAGAATCTTGAAAAATAACTTTTGAACCAATAATAATTGATGATATTTTTTTTTTACAGCAAATCAGCATATTATTATGATTTCTGAAGATCATGTGACACTGAAGACTGGAGTAATGATGCTGAAAATTCAGCTGCGCATCACAGAAATAAATGAGATTTTAAAATATATTCACGTAGAAACGAGGTATTATAAATTGTAAAAATATTTCGCTTTTTTTTTTTTTTAGTATTTTAGAGCCTTGATGAGCTGAGGAGACTCTCTGTCAATCCTCTCTGTTATATAATGTTTAGCATATTAGATAAATATCATCAAATATTTTTCCCCCCATTTATTTATTTTTTCTTCTCATGTCCACTGTCTTTTTTTTTTTACACCACATTTACTATATTTTTTTTACCCCCCATATACACTGCCTTTCAAAAGCTTTTAATGTTTTTAAAGAAGTCTCTTCTGCTCATCAAGGCTGCATTTATTTGATCAAAAATATAGAAAACAACAGTAATATTGTGAAAACTTATTACAATTAAAAAAAAAAAAGGTCTTCTATTTTAATATGCTTTCAAATGTAATGTATTTCTGTGATGCGCAGCTGAATTTTCAGCATCATTACTCCAGTCTTCAGTGTCACATGATCTTCAGAAATCACTCGAATATGCTGATTTGATATCAATATTGGAAACAGTTTTGCTTCTTAATATTTTTTGGAACCTGTGATACTTTTTTCATTCTTTGATGAATAAAAAATAAAAAAAGAACAGCGTTTATTTAAAATATAAATCTTTTCTATTTTTTTTTTTTTATCAATTTAACACATCCCTGCTGAATGAAAGTATTAAATTCTTAAAAAAAAAAATTAAAAAAAAAAGTACAATTACTGACCCCAAACTTTTGAACGGTAGTGTATATTGTTACAAAAGATTTCTATTTTAAATAAATGCTGTTCCTTTTAACTTTTTATTCATCATAGAGTCCTGAAAAAAGTATCAGTTTCCAAAAAATAATATGAAGCAGCAAAATTGTTTCCAACATTGATAATAAATCAGCATATTAGAATGATTTCTGAAGATCATGTGACACTGAAGACTGGAGTAATGATGCTGAAAATACAGCTGCGCATCACAGAAATATATTTGTTTAAAGTATATTAAAATAGAAAACCATTAAAGTAATATTTCATAATATTACAGTTTTTTCTGTACTTTTGATCAAATAAACGCAGCCTTGATGAGCAGTCTTTAAAAACAAAAAATCGTACTGATCCCAAACTTTTGAACAGCAGTGTGTATAGTTGTGCTCCACTTGTAAGTTAGTTAATCTGCTAGAAACTGGTATTTTAAAAGAGAAAAAAAAGTGAGTGTGCACGATCCAGTAATCATGAAAACTGAGAGAGCCGTGGAAATCCACTGGACAGAAGGTGTGGAAACTCTTAAGTCTTTCAGAGACGCTTAGCAAACACCTTTATGAGTCTATTAATGACAAAAGCTTTGAGTTTACAGAGTGACGTGTTCCTTCTTCAACAAAGTGTTCCACTAGTGGTAATAATGGTGGTCTAGTGGGAGGTGTCGGGTAACGGGTGGAATAGGGGTTAGTTTGTTGGTCCTGCGCTCTGAACACAAAGCCGTTCTGTTGGAATGGGATCAGACCGGCTGGATTCCAGGAATGCCGAGTTCACACGACACACAGGGAGCGCTGAATTATGCAGCGCTTGAGTTCTTTTCTAAACACTCCTGTGTTGCATTTCGACCAGGTCTGCAGATGTGACAGTTCGGACCCCTCTTTCGATTTCCTTGTTTATTTTGGTTCAGTGCAGACATGCGGACTGTAGAAAGAGTACTCTGTGATGTGCTTCTCTGTAGTTTGTGTTGGTGTGCGGCGCTGTGTGTCCTGCCGTCTGTGCTGGCGGACGCTGACGATGCTTCGCTGCTGGGAGGCTGGCAGGACGTGTGGCTCTTCCGCTTGTTCCTCAATGTTTTGAGCTACGCCACCATCATCATCCCTGGATATTTTCTCATCAGCTACTTCAAACGAATCAATTATCTAGAAACAGGTTTGTTCTGAGCACACTTACTTCTGTTGTTTCCCAGCCCAAATGAAGTGAAGTCATATACTGCATTTTGGTAAAACAAGAGTGAAAAATTTAAGGGGGTCTGAATACTTTCCGTACCCACTGTACATTTAATTATTATTATTAATTATAATGAATGTAATAATTATTATAGTTAATTAATAATAATAATAAAGTTTATTTTTCATCTCTTATGTCCACTATGTATTTTTCCTCACTCATATTTTCCTACTTATGTCCACTATAATGTTTTTTTTTTTTTCAACTTGTTTTTTCCTACTTAAGTTTTATTTTTTACCACATATTTTTTCCTACTTATTTCCACTGTAATTTTTTATTTCTTTCCCACTCTGACCACTATATTTTTTATTTTTCTGCCACTAATTGTGTCTACTTATGTCCACTAATTTTTTTTACCACTTTATTTTTTCCAACATACGACCACTATATTTTGAATTTTTCTACCACTTTTTTTTCTGACTTTCATTATAATAAAAAAAAATTACCACTTATTTTCTCCTACTTATTTCCACTATAATTAATTTTTTCCAACTTTAATTTTTGTTACCACTTGAGGCCATTATCATTTTAATTGTTTTATTTTCATTACCACTTTCTCTCAGTTAAGCAATACATTGTATTTCAACCCGAACATGTATGCATTATGGTTGCAGCAGCTCCTGTGTTCAGTTTAAAGTACTTGTCAAACCGTCCTGCTGATGTTTGTGCAGGTCGTGGGCTTTGTTTTCCTGTCATAAAGACGTGTGTGTTTGGGAATGAATCGAAGACTGGACTGCTGGATGACGCTTCATCGGCGGCTAGAAACAAGTCTGAATCCAGTTCATCTGCTCGGCAGGCCGTCAAACTCTTCTTCTGTGCTGCTGGACTCCAGGTTATACATTTATAGTTAATAGTCTTCACAATAACATCTACAATATCAGTTGTTGTTTTTTTCCTATATGCACAAGTTAATAGTCGTCATTTGTTCACCATGAAGGCAGTAAAATATGCATTATATCTATATATTTTTATTTTTTTTAATTTTATTGTTTAATTTAAAAAACAATAGTGAGATTCTCAATAGTGCAATTACAGTATTTTCTTTTATTTAAAATTATTTGTAATACATTTTTTATTCAATTAAATTTAAGATTTTTAATACTTTATAATTTAAGTATTACATCTTTTTTTTGCATTTCAGTAATAAAAATGTTTTTGTTTTTTTTGCATTACACAGTATGCATACAGTGTGCATTATGTTACTTATTTGGATTTGTTTTTGTAATTCCCATTATTCTCAGTTTTAATACTTTCTCACTAGTGTAATTACAGTTTTTTTTTTTTTTTTTTTTAAATACTATTTTTGGGTTTAAGAAGTTATTTTATTATTATTAATGTGTGCACAAGTTAATAGTTTTCATGTGTTCACAATAATATCTATAATATCGATATATTTATTTCATTTTTTATTTAATTTAACTATTTGCACAAGTTATCAGTCTTCATGTGTTCACAATATCTGCAATATCTTTATTTATTTTTTTATTATTTATTGTTTAATTAAAATCACCATGAAGGCAGTATGACATTTCATCTATAGTTTTTGTCCATTTTTAAAATTATTTTATTATTTAATTAAAATCACCATGTAGGCAGTACAACATATTTTATCTTTTTTTTTTCTTTTTTTAATTATTTAAATTAATTCCCTTTATTCTCATTTGTAATACTCATTATATTCTAACTGCTATAATTAGTTTTTTTTTTTAATTAAATGTTTTTTTTTTTTTTTTAGGAAGTTGTTTGATTATTACTGTGTGCTCAAGAGTTTTTCATTTTTGTAATTAGTTTTTCTTTGAACTCTTTGTACAGATTAATAGTCTTCATGTGTTCACAGTTATATCTACAGTATCTATATATGTTTTCCTCTCGCCCAGGTGTCGTACCTGACCTGGGGAGTTCTTCAGGAGCGGGTGATGACGCGCTCGTACGGTGCGACCGAGGTGGAAGGCAGCGGCGAGCGCTTCAAAGACTCTCAGTTTCTGGTGTTCATGAACCGGATCCTGGCACTGACGGTGTCCGGTCTGTGGTGTGTCCTGCTCAAACAGCCCCGCCATGGTGCGCCCATGTACAAATACTCTTTCGCTTCACTGTCCAACATCCTCAGCAGCTGGTGCCAGTATGAAGCGCTCAAATACATCAGCTTTCCCACACAGGTACAGCACTGCATTCTGGGTAAACGAGCTGTATGGTCCAGCAAGTTTATTTATATAGCACATTTCATACACAAAGGTAATTCAAAGTTCTTTACATAAAAAGGATTTTAAAATAATCATAACAGATGATTAAGAAATAAAATTAGCAATAAAAAGTCAAAACTAAAGATTCTGATATGGCCACGTTTCAGTAGACCATTAGATGTGCAGTGTTTTTCATTTTTTTGACAATATTTTCCTCGCACTTAAACACACTCACCCAAATTCTCATTTCCATAATTTATTTATGCATTTTACTTTTTAGGGGTTTTCCCATAATATCTATCTATATATATATATAAATAAATAAATAAATAAATAAATAAAGTAATTCCGTTGTAATATTAGATTCTTAATAGTGTAATTATAGTATTTCCTCATATATATATATATATATATATATATATATAAACATAATATAAATATATACAAATGATCAATAACCATTTATTATATATAATTATACAAAATATTAAATGTAAGAATTTATTTAAATGTAAGAATTTAGTTTTTAATTTTAACAATACTTTTAACAGAATATAATTTAAATGACACATGAAAAATATTTTTTATGGTGTGCATTGCTATTATAATATGTTGATTCCTGGTTTCGCTCTAGGAAAATTCCGCGTTGGAATTTTTGTGTGAATTTATTTGAAACGAAAAACATAAAATGAAAATAAATATTAGAAATATCTTTAAAATAAATCCGTATAGGTCTATAATTTCCTTATTGATCGTCTGCATCCTACATATCAGTTTGGACATTTCTGGACACCTTCTCAAATCTTGATTGATTGATTTTCTCTGAAATCACTGCACGAGCAGCAGCAGCAGTGATTGACACGTCAGCTCGTGTCGCTGGCAAATCCGTCATAAATCCGATGCCAGATGTGTTTCCGTCGCAGGTTCTGATTATTTTATTATTTAATTAAAATCACCATGTAGGCAGTACAACATATTTTATCTTTTTTTTTTCTTTTTTTAATTATTTAAATTAATTCCCTTTATTCTCATTTGTAATACTCATTATATTCTAACTGCTATAATTAGTTTTTTTTTTTAATTAAATGTTTTTTTTTTTTTTTTAGGAAGTTGTTTGATTATTACTGTGTGCTCAAGAGTTTTTCATTTTTGTAATTAGTTTTTCTTTGAACTCTTTGTACAGATTAATAGTCTTCATGTGTTCACAGTTATATCTACAGTATCTATATATGTTTTCCTCTCGCCCAGGTGTCGTACCTGACCTGGGGAGTTCTTCAGGAGCGGGTGATGACGCGCTCGTACGGTGCGACCGAGGTGAAAGGCAGCGGCGAGCGTTTCAGAGACTCTCAGTTTCTGGTGTTCATGAACCGCATCCTGGCGCTGACGGTGTCCGGTCTGTGGTGTGTCCTGTTCAAACAGCCCCGTCACGGTGCGCCCATGTACAAATACTCCTTCGCTTCACTGTCCAACATCCTCAGCAGCTGGTGCCAGTATGAAGCGCTCAAATACATCAGCTTTCCCACACAGGTACAGCACTGCATTCTGGGTAAACGAGCTGTATGGTCCAGCAAGTTTATTTATATAGCACATTTCATACACAAAGGTAATTCAAAGTTCTTTACATAAAAAGGATTTTAAAATAATCATAACAGATGATTAAGAAATAAAATTAGCAATAAAAAGTCAAAACTAAAGATTCTGATATGGCCACGTTTCAGTAGACCATTAGATGTGCAGTGTTTTTCATTTTTTTGACAATATTTTCCTCGCACTTAAACACACTCACCCAAATTCTCATTTCCATAATTTATTTATGCATTTTACTTTTTAGGGGTTTTCCCATAATATCTATCTATATATATATATAAATAAATAAATAAATAAATAAATAAAGTAATTCCGTTGTAATATTAGATTCTTAATAGTGTAATTATAGTATTTCCTCATATATATATATATTATAAGGATTTATTATATATAATTATACAAAATATTAAATGTAAGAATTTATTTAAATGTAAGAATTTAGTTTTTAATTTTAACAATACTTTTAACAGAATATAATTTAAATGACACATGAAAAATATTTTTTATGGTGTGCATTGCTATTATAATATGTTGATTCCTGGTTTCGCTCTAGGAAAATTCCGCGTTGGAATTTTTGTGTGAATTTATTTGAAACGAAAAACATAAAATGAAAATAAATATTAGAAATATCTTTAAAATAAATCCGTATAGGTCTATAATTTCCTTATTGATCGTCTGCATCCTACATATCAGTTTGGACATTTCTGGACACCTTCTCAAATCTTGATTGATTGATTTTCTCTGAAATCACTGCACGAGCAGCAGCAGCAGTGATTGACACGTCAGCTCGTGTCGCTGGCAAATCCGTCATAAATCCGATGCCAGATGTGTTTCCGTCGCAGGTTCTGGCCAAGGCCTCTAAGGTGATCCCCGTGATGCTGATGGGCAAGATCGTGTCGCGCAAGAGCTACGAGTACTGGGAGTACTTGACGGCCGTCCTGATCTCACTGGGCGTCAGCATGTTCCTGCTCTCCAGCTCCAGCAGCAAACACCCCTCCACCGTCACCACCTTCTCCGGCGTGGTCATCCTCGGCGGATACATCGTCTTCGACAGCTTCACCTCCAACTGGCAGGACAACCTGTTCAAGTACAAGATGTCGTCGGTGCAGATGATGTTCGGCGTCAATCTCTTCTCGTGTCTCTTCACGGTGGGCTCTCTGCTGGAGCAGGGCGCCTTCTTCGACTCGCTGGCCTTCATGATGCGTCACTCGGAGTTCGTGATGCACGCCGTGCTGCTGTCGGTTTGCTCCGCCTGCGGGCAGCTCTTCATCTTCTACACCATCTCTCAGTTCGGCGCGGCCGTCTTCACCATCATCATGACTCTGCGGCAGGCCATTGCCATCCTCCTGTCCTGCTTCCTCTACAGTCATGCCGTCTCCCTGGTGGGCGGCTTGGGTGTGGGTGTAGTCTTCCTCGCGCTCTTCCTCCGCATCTACGCCCGCAGCCGCGTGAAGAAGAGCAGCAAGCGGCCGCCGCAGACGCCCGTTCAGAAGGTTTAATCCAGTGTACAGAAGCCACATTTTCGTGGTTTGTTCGTCTTTTTTTGTTTGCTGCAGAACTGTGGGTTTGTTTCGTACGGTCGGATGCTACAGAAAGGGATTTCTCTTTATCTTAAAGGGATTTTGCGTGCGTGTCGTGTGTTTGTGTGTGTGTGTGTGTGTGTGTGTGTGTGTGTGTGTGTGTGTGTGTGTGAGAGAAATGACTTCACGATCCATCGAGCGAACACGGACTTTGATAGCCTTTGATATCTTTGTAATTTGGTACTAAATTCGTTCAGTTTTTCTATTTAAAGTTTGCTTTAAGAAGTTGTTCGAGAGGAAAATGAACTGTTGTTTAGCAGTGTTAGTTCACCCATCGTTCTGTTCACATTATATCTGGGTCATATTCACTCCAAAGTCCAAAGGAAAATATGAAATTAATAAACAAAAACACAATAAGAAATAGAAAAGACCATGTGGCCTTTTTTTAAAAAACATTATATTTTTTGACATTATTTTCATCAAAACTGAACACATTTTCCACTCAAAATGTTCTTTATTATTATTGTTATTACTTCAATGCAATAATAAAATATCAAATTAATAATAAAGCGTAATAAGAAATACTGATATTATGTAATAAGAAAAAAAAACGTAAAAAACACAATAAGAAAATGAAAATTAAGCATGTTTTTTGCCCAAATCCACTTTTATTACTATTTTTTTTTTCATTATTATTGTTACAATAACATATTAAATAATATTAAAATGTTAAAAGAAATAAGGCAATTTAGGGTTTTTAGGAACCATTACATTTTCTACATAATGACATTGTTTTCATGAAATTTAAGCAAATGTTCTGCCCAAATAATAATAATATGAATTATTATTATTATATTTTAATAGTTTATTATAATTATTACCATACAGTAATAAAATTCTAAATTAATAATAAAGCGTAATAAGAAATAATAGTACATAATAAGAAACAAAAAAAACTAAAAAAAAACACAATAAGAAAAAAATAATAGCATTATTTTCATGAATATTAAGCATGTTTTCTGCCCAAATCCACTTTTATTACTATTTTTTTTTTTATTTCATTATTATTGTTACAATAAAATAATAAAATATTAAATAATAAAATGTTAAAAGAAATAAGACAATTTAGGCTTTTTAAGAACCATTACATTTTCTACATAATGCAAATGTTCTGATATTAATTATTATTATTATTATCATATTTGAATAGTTTATTATAATTATTACAATACAGTAATAAAATACTAAATTAATAATAAAACAATAAGAAATAAGACCATTAGATTTTCATTATTTTCATTCAAATTACATTTTATTACATATTACAGTACAATAATAAAATATTAATAATAAAACATGAGATGATATTTTTTAAAAAGAATTATTAACATTTTTTTGCATAATGACATTGTTTTCCTTAAAATTAAGCCAATTTTGAGCCCAAATACCCTTTATTTTTTTTATTTTTTTTAGTAGTAGTACAATACAATAATACAGCTTTATTCATTGTATAACCATAAATAGGAATACTAGATTTGATGTGAAATGTGAGCTAGACTTGACATGGTTTTGTGAGATTCACGGGTCCCAAACGCAGTCTTTAAAGTGAACCTCCTCATTGATACCAGTGTCTCGTTTAGCAGGTGAATGAAGCTCTCTCACACATTTCTGCTGTCTGCCATATCAAACCGTATAATAGTGTTTGTTATATGACAAACAAACTGATTACACTCTTTAAAGTGCTCCAGTAAGTGAATCTCCTAAAGAAATGGCTGAAGAAAAATGATATATATAAATAAATATAGCATTGCATTTTGCATGAATAAAAAAGGCATATTTTTCATTTTCTTTTTGTTTCTTTAGTTTCTCTCCAGTTGTCTTGATATAAAACAGCTCATTCTTATTACTGTAATTTCAGTCATATTTATTTTTTGCACTGCAAAAAATCCAAACAAGTCACAAATTAGGTCTTTTCTGCAAAATATAATTTTTAAAATTATGTTTCCTTTTGACTTTGGGCTGAAATATGAGCTGTTTTTAACCAGTTTTCTGAGATTCTCTCTGGAAGGAAACACTGACATTCTTCAGGTAGTAATTTTACCTCCAAGCGTCAGGTGTGACTGTATGAAGGAAGTCCGTGTCAGGTGAGTTTCTCACGCATTTTCATAACACATAACCCTTATTATGGCATTAGAATCAGGCATGTTAAAGGCAAATTAAAAATGTCCTCATTTAGTCTCCCTCATGTCATTCCAAACCTACATTACTTTCTTAAAAAGAGAGCAGAATATTCATCACACCATCATTTATGGACGTTGTTTATGGTGTTTCTCTTTTCAGCTTTTGGAGCTTGACCTCCTCGTTACATTCTTTCATTGTACTGAAATAAAGCATGAATATTTTTATCTAATTCTGCCTTTTTTGTATTCCACAGAAGAAATATGTGGAATCGCAAGTCGTACAAGTTTGGAATAATGATGAGGGTATTTTGGTGCACTGTCGCTTTAAGAGTCTTAGGTTTGTGTTTTTCTGGTCAGATGAGGGAGGCAGTGAAAAATGTCACCGGTTTTGTAAGAGCCAGAAAGGGAAGTTCCACGCTATTTATAATTTTTTTTTTATAAATGATCTACCATTTAAATATGTGCAGAAGTGATAAGACAGACACGTGCGTGGTGAAGAAAAGCCAACAATCTAGTTTTACAGTGATTCAGTTCACACGTGTTCATTTTTAGTGTTTGCTAGAACAGGATTTCTACAGATCTGCTCTCGAGCTTCAGTTCACTGATACAATACTAATGACATCCGTTTCATTTATATTATTGGAACGAATATAGCTTTTTCTTTCATTATATTAAAGGTTCTTAGGGAACCTGTTTGTTGCTGATAATCACTTTTAGTCTTTTTAGTGGGTCTAACTTTTGTCTTTATTTTTGTTTAAGTTTCTTTTTCCGTTTTTGATTTGCCCGTGCAATAATAATCTGCCTTCTATTACAGTTTTGAGAATAGATCTGATTTCTGGGATGAGTTTTTATGGTGTTAAAAGCAGCAGGATGGATTGTTCTTGGTGGTCTGACCGTGAGAGAGGATGGTAGACGTGCTTGTTTACCAAAATATTTAGGTGAAATCTCTTTCGTTCTGCATCTACGTCCTTTTGCATGTTGCAGATTTATTTTTAAACTCTAATCAGGACTATGTACTTTCACTACAGGATGTAGTTTTAGTTAGTGTTTTAATTTTTTTATTAGTGAAGCATTACCAGGTGAATCTCATGAAGACAGTTACCATTCAATGACCGTAAAAATTACATTATGCATAAAGAAAATGATGCTTATTTTAGGACCTTTCATTTATTTATTTATTCTTTTTTTTTTTTTTTTTTTTTTTTTTTTTTTTTTTTTTTTTTTTTTTTTTTTTTTTTTTTTTTTTTTGCATTGACATTTTCATGGCAATTACATCAGCAAAAATTAAATCATTATTTTTTATTATTATTATTATTATTGCATTGTGAAATTTGACAATTACCTTAATTAATCTGGATGTAAGATTATTATTATTGCATTGTGAAATTTTCATGATGTGTCTGGATATGTTTAGATTTTTTTCCTCATTATCAAAGGTGATTTTCGTATGACAAAGTTTTATTTAAATCAGCAAAAATGAAAACATTGCATTTATTTATTTATTTTTTAATATTTTATTAAACGGTTAATGTAGTATAATATCTCTTTTACTCCATTAGTAAAGATAAATTTTTTTTGCATAATTAATCTGTTTAATTGTGATGATAAATAATGTCATAATTCAAAACTCTTAATGCTCCTAAAAATAGATTTCAGTTCCTTTAGGTAAAATATAATTTTTTTTCCCCTTTGATTTTGGGGTGAAATATGACCTGGACATGTTTGAGTGATTCACCTTACCACCAGAGTACATGAGGTTTTGTTTTCTGTATGTAATATTAATTTCCTGTAAAAGCCCACGAATGTTTTGGAGGTTTAAAAGAATCTGTCAGTATGATTACTCAGATAACGGGTGCCATTCAGTGTCATTTCTCCCCTTATTTTTAGTGTTAGTGATCAGTCTGAGGGAATGTGAAGGACTTGTGTACTACCTAACTAATGTAGTCTTACTTACTTTTTTTTAGGGTTCATTGTTTATATATATATATATATATATGTTTCAATTAATTTGATCACATGACCAAACTCAGATTTGTGTTAGTTTTCACTTTCTTCATACCTGCTTTTTATTCTGTTCTGATTTCTTGAGTTGATGAACTGTTAAATACAGTTACGTCTTGAAGAGTCTCTTGTGTTTGTCTGTTGTGATTATAAGGTCTCTAATAAAGAGATGCAAGCTAATAAACAAGATCTTTAAAAGCAGAATCCATCTAAAAGTTAGAAAAGATTCAAAGATGACTGAAATGATTACCTGGAAAGATATCCGCTTTTGAATGTCAACTTCAGCTTCGTTAAATGTTAAGAATAACAACGTGCATTAAACAGTAAAACTAGTGTTTTTAAACCAGTGTGTTTATGATTACGATGAGAAATTAAAATAATATGATAGCAAAGACCAGAACTGTTTGTACAGGTGTAATAACTGGAAAGGACTGTTTATATAAACCTAACATGATATTTACACTTTGTATAACATAAATCAGTCAAACTTTATTTAATTCAGCACCTTTCAATGTTGCAAAATCTAACGAAAAAGTTAAAAAAAATGATCGAATGACACTAAATACAATACAGTAAAAAAAAAAAAAAAGGTTATACCCTGAAAAATGGTGATTTTTACCTTGAAACAATTTTTACTCTGAAATTGCTAGTAAATTTCATAAATACAAAGAAATGGCAAGTACCACATTTGAATAATGCTACAGAAATAGCATTTTCTTGTAAAACATACTCCAATAATCTTTATTTGCAACTTCGAAAAATAATTTTTTAGAGAGTAGTAAAATAGTGGACTAAATCGTGTAGATTAACTAGATTTTTACTAGAAAATACCACCATGATGTTAAGGTGTTGCTAGGGTGTTTATGCGGTTGCTAAGCTGGTTTCTTTTACGGGGTATAAAAAATAAAGTAATTTTGACTTTTTATCTCACAATTTTCTGACTTTTTTTCGCGCAATTCTGAGTTTGTCCTACAATCCTGAGATTATATCTCGCAATTCTTAGAAATAAAAGATAATTGTGAGATATAAACTCGCAATTGTGAGAAATTTTTTTTTTAATTGTGAGATAAAAAGTCACAATTACCTTATTTTTACTATATTTATTTCAAAGTGGAAACAAAAAACTGAATTGTGAGAATTGCGAGACTCATAATTGCAAGAAAACAACTAATTGTGAGATGAGATAAGTCACAATTACATTTTATTTATTTTATATTCTGTGGCAGAAATGAGAACACCATAGCAACCTACACTTTCAGAAAAAAAGGTACAAAAGCTGCACTGAGACGGTACCTTTTCAAAAGTTGTACCTTAT